AGAAAAACGTGACTTAATTAGCAATGGCATGATGTGGCTTAATCTCTGTTGAAGCAAATCTATGCTTTGCACAGATATAAGTTTCATGCACCCAAGTCCTAATATATAAACCCTCTTTCAGAATCGATAGGCATTGTATTATAAACAAAAGTTAGCTGAACAAAAAAAGATTTGACTTGGACAAAAAAGTTTGCAGTCGTCTGACTGTAGCTAGATAGTTGTGAGATCAGAAGTACAAGATCAGTATAGCATTTGCAGTTGAAACCTCCCAGTTCCCCTGAATGCTTAAAATAATTAATACATGTTTTGCTTTCTTGAGCGGTTTGCATTGTTCTTTGTTAAAATGTTCCTTAAGAATACAGTAATTGTTCCTGCTTTTGGAAAGGTGGAGTTGTGGTAGTGGTGGTGAAAAAGGCATAAATACGCTGTAAAAGAGGTAGCAAAGGAACCACCCCAGCACTAACACTAATACATTTATATGCTGCCCAACTCCCAGCAGTAGTTTTGGTTATGCTTAGAATTCTTGTTCCTTTTGCCATTACGCTCGTAGGAAGCGGGTTGCTGTTTCTTATCTAAGGAAGACTCTGCATCTGGGATCCACGATAGTTACTATGTTCGGTTTGACCTTGTCCACAGCCTATTTGACTGTGCAGTTTGAACAAGTAATTATGCTCTATTTCAGCCTGCATTAGGATTTTCTTTAATAATAATTGTTGCTTTTGATCACTTTCTGTCTGGAATGTATCCAAGGCAACTTGTAGGAAAAGTTATACAGAAAATAAAAATACAGTGTGATTTAAAACTTGACAAAGCTGCTGAAAAATTAAGGGAACTAAGATCATGTTGCAAATTGAACAGGAGTTGGATTGGATATGAATAAACACAATATGGTTGGTAATGCGTTTTAAGCTTTTTTTGAAGTTCCTGATAAAGCAACACTTGATATATTTTTAGGTGCTTTATGGGAAGTAACCACTGTCTGCCGTACTACTTTAAGGAAAAAATATCTCAAAGTATAATTGTGAATTGTGCATTCCCATTAAGCTTAGGGTTCTTTGTTAAGAGCTAAAAGTCTGTACAGTATTTTTCCATCATTGATGTAAAATATTGATTTTTTTCTTTTGCTGAGATATATTTGGTATTCTAAATGTAATGACAGAAAAGCTAATGCTTTTGGAATCAGCTGGGTCAACATGAGCTTGTCTTTCCTGAAAATGAAAATATTCAAACACTGAAGTTCCGTGCTTCAGAAAAGGTAGTTACAAAAACAGTGTTTCCTCTTTTATATATTTTGTATTTTCTTTGTGGAAATATTTCTGACAGATTTCCAGTTGAATTTTAATACAGTTTCTCTTTTTTGATCGTATTTGCTAGATTTTTAAATATTTTCTTGGTATTGAGGAATTTAATGTGCTATATTAAAATCTGTATGCTTAACTTCCAGTATTGTGACTGATGTATGAACAGCTCTAGTAAAGTAGTTTGTACTGGTCTACAACCGTAATAAATTCAATTGAATTGATGAAGCTAGTTTTTTTATTAAATAGCAAAAGTAAACTAAAGTTGATTAATTTAAATATAGAGAATTTGCCAGATAATAATATAAATTATAAATTGTGCTGAATATTAGGAAGTTTGATGCTCTTAGACTACTGTAAAGTAATTTATTTGATGTAAGAATTCTTAGAATGTTAAGTAAAATGCAGTTTTATTTCCCTAGAACATGTTCAGCTGTAAAATTCATTGATACACTGTTGCTTATGTTAATTTTTAAATATTTAAAGTTCTAATTGGTGAGTTTGAAATACTTTTTCAAACTTAGTTAACAGTAATTTCACTAATTTAGTTCAAATGTAAGTATCTAAGTTACTTTTAAAAAGCCAACTTTGTCTCTTGAATGCAGTTGTAAAAGTGAAGAATCGTAGTAACAATTACTGCATATTATCTGATAGTGCAGCTAGTTAACTTCTAGAAATCATACAGACATATAAGTTTTAATTAATTAGTTATGTATGCAACTTCATGGACATTTTGGAGTACCAGACATTTCTCTCTCCCACTTTTTCCATTAAATTGAGGTTTTACTTGTAATTAATTCCATGATTTCAGAAGTCTAGCCATGGAATTCTCTATTTATTCTTAGATATTTATTCTCTTAAAGTCATTTATTTGTGTCTTATAAGTTTATATATGATTTGTCTTTAAATGTTAATTTTGTGTTTTGTTCAGTACAAATAATATTTGCAAAGTATTACAGTGAGCATAGAATAATATGAACTATTTTCTGCTCATAGTACAATCTTAACTACTCAGAAGAAGGTTAATTTAACTCAGTGGGACATACGATTTCAACTCTGGATAGTGAAAAACAATCTTGTTTTGTTAATTTTGCTTTCTCTCTAAGCAACTTTTGTGGTTCTTTCCATATGACTGGTTTTGTCATATGGAAAGGTGAGATGTATAGTTTAGATACCAAAATGTCAGCACAGGCAGAAGCCATTCAAAAACTAAAATCAGCAAGTTTTGAATAAGCTATGCCTGATTCAAGATCAATTGACTTTAAACATCTTCAGTGTAATTTCAACATGTTACTTTAAAGAAGGAAAAAGAAGAGAGCCGATACAGTATCGTGTTGAAGAGGATGGACTTGCAGCAGGGAGATCCAGATGGTAGCTTACCCTCACCTACAGAAACTCCCTACAGTAGGTGACTTTGTGCCAGTCACTTACTCTCAACCTGTGCTATATATGCTATCAAATAGGAAGAGGCAGCACTATGTATGCCATCTTGAGCTCCTGAATTAAAGATGGAATATAAATCTAGTAAATAAGTAAAAAGTGTAAATCTTCATATGATTATGATATAAATGAACTTGATTTCCCATCTTTGGTAGCTTAAGGTAGCCTGAACTCCCTTTCTGCAGAGATTCGATTGGCCCCATCCTTTCTCAGGCTTAGGAAAGCAGTTAAGACCTACTTATTCTGCCTAGCATATTAGAAGATTATGCTTTTGATTACAGGTGGAATTGGAGTTCCTGCTGATTTTATTTTTTTATCCTGATTGGCTCTTTTATGTATTTTTATGTAGGTATTTTTCTTCTTTTGTATTGATATATGATGATGGGATTGTTAACTTCATAGGGCCTTTTAGGATTGGGCAATTTGCAAATAAATAAATAAATAAATTATTCCAATGCAGCCATGTATAAAACCCAAATGCATTTATTAAATAGTGACTGTACTTTGCATCCCAGCATGCATTATATTAGAATTTCTTTGTCCATCAACTGGGGAAAATAACACTATTGCTTAGCTAATATTGCAGTTGGAGATGACAAAGTGCTTCATCCCCATGAAAAGTATATTTTACTGCATAATTTTTAATGGCAGCATTAAAAGATTTGATAGCATATTGAATTAGCTCTTTACCCTTAAAGTAATGACACACTAAAGAATAACATAATTCTACAAATTATTGTCTCTTTCCCTGAGACTCAGACAATCAGAAGTCTGCTAATTTGCTTACATTCTATAGTAAGTGTACTACTGTATATATCTAGAATTTTTAATTATTTTCTATAACAAATCAAATATCTGTATCAAATATATATTAAGTATCTTTACTCCAAATACTCCAGGGTCCTAGTTTTGGTACACAATTCATTTTGGATGCATGGCTATTGTAAATTGTGCTGGTGTGTGGGAATGACCTTGGGAGACAGGAGGAAAGCTGCCAGCACAGGCAATGGACTGATAAGAGGCAGCCCAGTCCAAAGGTGGGCGAAAAGCATGAGAAGTGTTTCAGAAGAGACCCTCCCTAGTTTTCCGAAGACTAAAAAGGAGGGGAGAAATACTTTCAGTCTTGCAAGATTCGGTTTAATGTAACCTTACAATAAAGATAGTGCTGATGTTCCTGGTCATGCTGCTTGTCTGGACTACCTTGAAGGGCTAACAGAAATACAGTTGTAATATTTTGTATAATTTTGCTACCATGTGTGAGTGGTTCCCAATCTGTAGTCCAGAGACCAATAAGGAGATAGATCTAATTGCAGGCAAAGGCACTTTTTTAAATGGCCCAAATCTCTTTCAGATTACTGAATTTCATACAGCTAGTGTTCTTACAGGAATTCTTGTAAGATTTCAAGCAGGAACAACAAAATATTATGAAGCTTGATGGTCATCTTGTTCATTAGCATTTTTAAAAATTAAAATACTTTTTATTTAATTTTTGGATCTTCCGGATGTTGCGGAAGACAAATGTAGGCACCTCGCTGCTGACTCCTGGCTACTATGGTAATTACAATGATGAAATAGCAGCCTATGTGAATGAAAAAGTTTGGGACAGCTGGTGTACATCACTTGGAAAAGCAGACTAAGGAATATCCTATTAGAGTTGCTATTTTTCCATATTTACTATATCTCTATTGTTTCTCTATAACATGTAGTTTGTTTTCTGAAAATTATTAATGGAAAAACTACATATGCTTATACATATACAACTATTGATACATCAAAGCATCATTAGTTGCTATCTATGTATTGGCTGCATTTGCATAACATATTTAATTTATTAGTAAATTAACCTGTTTTCTTGATTTGCACAGTACTTTCAGTCATAAGCTAATCCAATAAATTCATATAATTCACTAAGCCACAACATTACTTATTAAGGTTAAAATTCAATTTTATCATGTATAAAAGCAGCAGCTAAGTTTATAAATGACCAGATTTAATTTACTGGGGGGAAGAAATTGTTCCCTTGGTAGTGTATTGTTCTTCTCTTGCTAACCTTAGTTCATTTGGATGAGTTAAAACACTTACAAAGCTGTGGAATCTGTTGTTGAGAAGCATGAGCTGACATTGACCCACATTCTGCAATTACTTAGATGTACTTATGTAGTCTGCTTCACAAGATCTTATTTCTGAAATCTTACTAAAGAAAATTAGTTCATGATCTTTTTTAAACTTTTGCAATTGAAACAATATTAATTACATTTTCAGGTGTGAAAGCATAATGGCGGGTAACAGTTTGGTCCTACCGATTGTGCTATGGGGACGCAAAGCTCCTACTCACTGTGTGTCAGCTACACTGTTAATGGATGATGTTTCAATGATTGTCACAGGATGTCATGATGGGCAGATATGTCTATGGGACCTCTCTTCAGATTTAGAAGTAAGTTTAAATCATGGAATTGGAAAACTTTTCAGAATGATACACAAGTTTTATTTAAATATAACAGCTTGGTTTAGAAATGCAGTTCAAGTACAGTTTTGTACAGTTCAGTTTGAATTGGGTATATGTTTGATAATTTCCAGAAAAGGCATTGTTACAGTATCTATGCTTTTCCCAGTAAAAAACCTCGCTTCTTGAGCTGATTCATCAGAACGATCAATATATGTTATTGATATTCATAGGCTTGCTTTTGTGGGAGTGCTGATTTTTTTTTTTAAATCATTAAACCATGGAAAATCAATGAACTCTGCTGAAAAGTGACTCTGCAGGGCCTCCTTTCTCCTCTGACCCTTTGAAGGTCAACATGCTTAGATTAATTTAAAAAGAATAACTAATTCAAATACTGAATTTGGGAATGTATTGTTTCTGTTTCTCCAATGCTGCTTCTAAAACTGTACTACTTACTGATTTATTTATTTTTAAGGGATACAGAGTGGTTGTAATTTGGACTGAGCCTTTGAAAGATGAGCAATTTTGACATCCAAACAAATAAGCTAGAATCTGGAATGGTAGTTGGGTACTTTTATATGCCTCTTTGTTCTCTTTATATGTTCAAACTTTACCTTCAGCTACATATGCAGCCTATGCATTATAGAAAATAACACACTACCTTACAGTAATATTAAATTTATTCGTGTAAGTTGTATCTGCTCTGTTAAATTGGAGTAACTTAGAAAAAGATATTTTTTGTTTTCTGCTTGCAACATTAAATAAGAAGGAAAAAGGCAGCTAATCTTATATGAAATGAGTAGGTTGGGCACCCATTTTAAGTTGCGGTCTGCGTGGAAACAAATAGCTGCAAATCTTCCTTAGCAATTACCTACTGCAATCCCAGCAGTGTGGTTGCACTGGATCCTATTGTTTCCCAGATAATGAATAGCGCCTAATTGGATGCAGTTTTAGAATGCAAAACACAGTGTCAAATACAGTTCCAAGGACTATCTTGGCCATCATTCAGATATTGAATAAAAGGCTTCAGTTTTCATGAACTGTAAATAAATCAGCCTGTGGAACCATCTTGCAAATAAATAACCATTACCTTTAAAATAATAGTCGAAGGAGCAAGATGGATGATACTCATCTGGTGTTAACAAATACCAAGCAGCAGAGGGTTTGTGTGATGTTTGCCTTTTATTCAGAATAATTAAAGCTATATCAGAGCCCTTCTTTTGCTGCAGTGTATTATTCACCTTCCATAATTTTGCCATTAGACTGAAGGCCTTGAGAATTATGTCTCTTCCTAAATATTCCATTATAATTTCAGAAAGGCAAAAAAGCACTTTTTGATTTTAATGACCCTGACTTGTGTGGCCTACTTGTTGGGCCTGCAAGTCAGCAAAAGATAGGGAAATAGCGGTATATTTTATTATGCGAATGTACATATGATAAAATAAATGTAATCATTCCTACAGCCACATATATGTAATGTGCAACTTAAAAAAAAGGTTATCATACACTTTTTTTTGCCTTTTCATTCCCATTAATTTATTTGACTAAAGCCAAATAGCTTATGCAAAAATGCTTTTAACTAAAACACTAATTAAAATTGGTCTTGCCAATTAATCATAAGCTAAGATATAGTTAATTCATCTCCAATTAAATGTATTAAAATATGCAGGATTTTTTAATGGATATTGAGTATTGTTTACCAATCTCAAATCATGAGACAGATTATATCTAATATAGCCAACATAATGTTACCATTAACAGTATGTTTATATCAACATAATGTTATGTTTTTAATTTAAATAAGGAAAATGTATGAAATATATTTTGAAAAGGGATATTTAAAAATTGTTCAAAATTTATCAATCAATAGTTTAGTACGATCACAGACCAGAATTACAAATAAAAATGCATTAAAAATTAAATAAAACAAAATATGATAATATGTTACAGTTAATGGTGGGATCATCAGTGGGCAATCAAAGTCTGCCTATTTTTACAGATAGCGTAACAAAATTTAGGGATTTTGTAGGGAACGTATCCCTACGTTCAAAGAAACTGAATCATATTGATCAGATAGCAACAACTGTACATAAAAAAGATCAGAATTTCCCACGTATTTTATCAAATAGGAAGTTATAAAATGGGTCCATGAGTCCTTTTAGAAGGTCGAGTATAGCAGGGCACGACCTGTAGTTCCAATAGCCCCTTGTCCACAGGGGTACACTCTCAGCTCCTATGGAACTTTTTTGTATTGGCCCTACAAACTGCTGCGGGAAGGGTGTTGCAATGTTCTAGAGTTGGTGCCCTTTGGAATTTGGAGACAGTTATATAATGTAAGTATCTCACTGGTTTATAAAAAAGGGCTTGACGGCTCAAAAAAACGTCGTTAGGTAGAGCAGACTGCTTCTACTGATACGTTGTTTAAATGCACTAAGTGCGCACTCATAGCCCATCATTAGCAACACCTCCCTGGAGAAGCCAAGATGTCACAGTTTTTGTGAAATAGTCCTGAACCATACTGATTTATAACTCTTCAAAATTTTATTTTAACAGAGTGCCCATAGTTACATTTTAGGTCATTTATAAAAGTGCCTATTTTTTTTTTTTTTTACTTTCTACAAATATTAAAAATGACAATAATCATTGCAACAGCTAAGATATACACCACTGAATTTTTATTAAATTTCTTAGCAAACTGGGATTTTAAATTGTTTCAGTTCACCTGTAATGCTGCCTTTTGTTGTTTGCCATGTGACCAAATCTCAGGTTCATATGTTGCCCCCGCCCCCCCCCAATCTTTCACTTTATGTTTGCACGGAAACCAGGATTTAACATAAAGTTTCAACTGAGGTGGAAAGCACTAGATGAAGATAGATTTATTTTCTGCTTCTTCAGTATAATTAAAGTGCTTTTCAAAATTATCATAAAGAATAATATATTTGTCAGCTTTTCATACTTTGTTTCCCCAAATTACTGGAGATAGATAGATAGATAGATCCATCCATAATTTGGGAAAGAAAAGTATGAAAAGTTTACAAATGCGTTTTTGTGTGTGTTATTCTCATGCCTTTGATGATACTTTTTTATTTTTTAGTGATTTTTGAAAATACTCAAAAATTTGCATTTTTTTCTCTGATCCTAGATAAATCCTAGAGCTCTGTTATTTGGTCATACAGCATCCATTACTTGTTTATCCAAAGCCAGTTCTTCAAGTGAAAAACAGTATATAGTGAGTGCATCTGAAAGTGGGTAAGGATTTGCTTTTTCTACCAAACTTGCTATTGATTACTGAATTACTTTAGGTCTGTTATAATAATACTACATTAAGTAGCATCTTAAAATCTGCTTGGGCAATTTTTGGCCTTCAAAGGGAGTTCAAGTATAGTTTTTGATCTTGCATCCTCCTACTGCTCCCCTTCCTAAAGTGATTAACAATTGTGGGGCTGGATGAGCACAGAAGAATGATTGCTTAATTTTCATACTTACGTTTGTCTTGTTTTTCTTCTGGTAGAGAAATGTGCCTGTGGGATGTGAATGATGGAAGGTGCATTGAATTTACTAAATTAGCCTGCACACATACTGGCATACAGGTAAATGATTTAAGTGTGGATTAAACTGGTTATGTATAAATATAAATGCATATGAGGGCTTCACCGTAATTGCTTTTAAGCTTTGCTTTAATCTGATACAGTTTTCAATTGACTCAATTACATCATTTTAGTATATCTGTAATCGATCAGTATTTTTACATGATGAAATATTTAAAAACTAAAACTATTAATAATCTTTGGGAAAATTGGCAAAACCACAAAGAAATAAACAAAATGATAGCTGTATTCTGAGACAGTTAAAGGCACCTGTTTTTGCTGTCTTTTAGGAGCCAGCTGGAATGCAGAAATAGTGAAAGTCAGGTAATTTATTATAGGGTAAATTTGATTTAAATAAAATTGATTTAAATAATGATTTATATCACTAGTCAGGAAAATTCAGTTTAATTATGTATATTTCAAGTCAGGAAGATTCTATTAATCATCATTTTCTTCTCAAAATATTTGATGCAACCTTACTATAGACTCAGAGAAAGAAGTAGCTTTCAGTTTAGGGGATAGGTACCCACTGTTCATTATAAAGCAATGCTTTTTTACATTAATTTTCATTAAATTCATTAAAATGGATTGATGGTTTGGCCATTTTATTTAGTATCCAAGCTTGTGAATCATTAGAATATGAAATAACTCCAGTTCAATTAATCATGAATGTTTACCATAATTATTGTTCTAAACAGTTGTATGAGCATTGCAAAAGAAGTGACTGTTTTTAATAGTTCAAAAAAGGTAGTCCTGCACTTTGTAAAATAACTCTTTGAAGGTTTTCTGTTGTCTTTTGTATCTTAAATGGTTAATACTTTCTGAGCTAGGTTGATTTTTAACACAGCTTTTAGAGAAAAATCTGCAAATCTAATATAAATTTTAAAAATGATTTAAATTAACTCACATTTTAAAAAATAATTTGTTTTTCCTCCCCTGGATTGATTACCTGGGTGTCCTATAAATGAGAAGGACTAAACAGTTATGAGCATACATTATTTTTGTTGCTTATAAAGAAAATCTGATTCTCTGGCATTTGGGGTATCACATACTAGAATGGCTCTGATGTAGTTCTTGTATCTCTTTTAGTTCTATCAGTTCACAATTGGGACTCAGCGTGAAGGGAGATTGTTGTGTCATGGCCATTATCCAGAAATTCTTGTTGTGGATGCTACCAGCCTTGAAGTTCTTTATTCCTTGGTGTCGAAGATTTCTCCTGACTGGATCAGTTCTATGAGCATTATTCGATCTCACAGAACACAAGGTTAGCCAACAGCCATATTTCAAGCTCTTATTTTTCAGAAATTGTCTTGGCAACCAATAATGTAGTAGTAGTAGTAGTAGTAGTAGTAGTAGTAGTAGTAGTAATAATAATAATAATAATAATAATAATAATAATAAGGCAGCTTTACTTGGAGCAGCTTGTATCCTGCAACAATACCTTTAACACCATCAAACAACAACATCTGCCTGTCCCAGGTCCTTGGGAAGGTGGATAAAACTGCCAAACCCAGCCTAAACATCTGGCTGACTGTGCGACCAACCATAATAATAATAATAATAATGTTGCAAGTACATCAGACAGTTGAAGAAGAAAAAAGAGCATTGGAAGAATATCTGAAGGAGAGTGAAGAAGATGAACTGAAGCTAGCATACCATGAAGGCTTACTGAATACCGAAGAGACCAAACTGGCCTACAAGAAAGACCAAATGAAGAATAGAAAAGAGAGATGGCAAGGCAAGGTATTAGAGAGTGAAGAAGATGAACTGAAGCTAGCATACCATGAAGGCTTACTGAATACCGAAGAGACCAAACTGGCCTACAAGAAAGACCAAATGAAGAATAGAAAAGAGAGATGGCAAGGCAAGGTATTACATGGCCAGTACACAAAAAAATTAGCAGACAAAGCAGATAACAACAAGACCTGGCAGTGGCTAAGAGCAGGAAAGTTGAAGGAAGAGACAGAGGGGCTAATTCTGGCTGCACAAGACCAAACCTCAAGAACAAATGCATATAAAGTCAGAATCGAGAAGACAGCAACAGACAGCAAATGCCGCCTCTGCAAAGAAGCTGAAGAAACAGTGGACCACCTAGTCAGCTGCTGCAAGAAAATCGCACAGACTGACTACAAACAACGGATGACAAAGTAGC